ACGGCAAAACCGTGCCAGGGTTGCAATTCAGTCTCCGCCCCTGACTCCGCCTACTTTCCCCCGGAATGTGCAGGGTCTCCTGGAATTTCCTAAAATGGTTCAAAACAAATACTGTTCCAAAATTTTCGGAAAAAGTTTTTAGAATACTTGAAAATCATTCCACCTCACTCCCATTTTCCTAAATTATCTACATCTCGAAGCGCTCTACTGAACCCAAATCAAACTTACTGGAGGCGGATTTCGAAGCCTTGGCGTTCGACAAGCCGAACCACCAGAATTCTTGAATTTTTTCCGTTTTTTGGTACAATTCGCGGCGAAAAATGCAAACGAAACGAGCGGGAATACGATGACAATGATAATGCTCATCATTGTTTTGCTTGTTGTATTTACTCGCTCTCTGATTGGCAAATCTGAAAATTTTGAGATTTTTAATTAGAAAAATCTGAAATTTCTTGTGCGTCATTTTAAGTTTAAGTCAAGAAAGTTGGATGGAAATTAGCAAAGTTATAATACCGTAAATACTCAAACAAAACCATCAGGATCGTTCACTTTAAGCTTTTATATCTCACTTCTTTTAAAAGATTTCAAAAAGTTGTCAACTGTTAAAATATTATCATAATATCAGCAACATTTTATTAGTCAATCACTTTTTGATATCTTCTACAGAGAATTAGATACATAGGCTCAAATATGACAATTCGAGTGACGTTCTATTAGAGTGATTACGGTATTTCAAACTTTGGACTTCAAAAAATACACCTCTGCAAATTCGCCCCACTGACAAAAAACCTACGTTTTGCAACAATACCGTAATCAAAGCAAAACAAATTAAGGATGCTGAAAAATGAAAATTTTATGATGATCTTTGGATCTTTGGATTTTTGATTGGAAAATTTTTTTCAATCGGAAAAAATGCACTTTTCACGTTTTGGAACTGAAATAATTTCAGCAAATTGGGTTATGACATTTTGAAATAGCAATTTTCTTTGGGATACTGTAGAAATAATATCTTCACATAGTTCAAACATAGTTTAAAGCTCAATTTTTTGAAAAAATCGGAAGTTACTGTTTCAAAATTTCCGAAAATGAAATCAGCAATATACCGAAGTTATTACTAGTATATGGAATGAATTTGAATAATTAATTTTTGGAAAAATCAAAATTTCCCTTTTACAATTTACTATTCTGGTATTGTCTATTACAAAATAGCCGTCAAATAAAATACTGATTCTTA